CGCGACACTTGAAATAGAAAATTAAGTCTTTCACTTCGTGCCAGTATGTTAACGGTAGCAGGTTGAGGCGAGAAAGGCGCTCATGATAAGAAATATCCTCTTGCCAGTGCGTGTTTAAGATGAATTTTGTTGCCCTGCGTTGAAGACTTTCTATTGTCAAAATTGTCAAAACTGAGGAAGGCCCTTCTTAGTCGAGCGAGAACTTCAAGAATAAACGGACTTCGCCAACGTGGGATTGTTTTTTCCTTTATTTATTTATTTTTCGCTTAGATAGGGTCCCAAATACTTTTGCAGCTGGCTGTAGTTGCTTGCGGTTACGTACTTAAGTATAACCCTGTTTCTATAGCCCGAAGCCAGATTTTTTGCCTTTGATTATGGATTGGGTTTCCCTCAGGTTCTACAAACATCACCGTGCGGTCTTTGATCTTTTTGTTTATTCGCACTCTAGTGTAGACGTGAGACTCTCCGCTTATGAGTTGTCTTGCGCAGGAGCCCCCAATCAGGCAGGCCAGCAAGGGAAAAAAAGAAAGAAAAAAGAAACTCCGTGTTTCGTGCAAGTTACTAGTAAATCCAATAGGCTCTGAACAGGGCATGACGGCGTTATTTCTAATAATTGGAGGACCTTTGGATATTCATGATACCGATTGGGACTTGACCCAGATTCCGCCCTCACCTCCTCCCCGCCTCGTCTTTAAAAACGAATTAACATGCATAGTACAAATGTTACTTCTAAATTTTGTAAGTAAGTAAGTAAGTAAGAACTTACGAACATTTACTGTGACTGCCTGTCAAACCTGGAACTCCTTACCGCTATCCATGCGGAAAATAGCGTCGCTAAATTCTTTTAGGAACTCTCTTTGGAACAAATTTTTTGAAGAACAGCAGCTTTTAAATCATTTTATTCTGTGATTTAGTTATACTTTTGTGCTATAATTTGATTTTATCTCTTATCTCTTGTATTCTATTCTTTATATTATCTCATAGTTATGCCATAGTTTTTAACATCCGTACTGTACATAAATTTAGAGGGCCACGGGTTTGTTAGTAATTTTATACTCTATGATTTTAGTGCTACCTTCTTTAGATAAAGTCTTTACTTACTAACTTAATTACTTACTTAAGAGACGTTGATATTCTCGAAGAACACTCGCGATCTCGCAGGCGAGTAGCGTTCTCTACGCATATACGCACGTGCGTACTTGAAGTGACCAGAAAAATTTGAAAACAATGTTGTGTTTGCGCCACGTTTGCTCAAAATAAGGGCAAGACGCTTTGTTCTTTGCTTGTATTCACACAACTATTTCAAACAAGAAATAAAGAACGCAGTATTTTTCGCTCAGTTTACCTAGGTTTCTAGATCATGTGTACTTGTGCGTACTTGAAAAAATGACCACGCTACGCGCCTGTGTCGATGATTCGTATAACTAACCCCTTCACTGCCAAGATCTTGTTAGTAATTCTCCCTACTGTCTGTCCTACATTCTTATGATGTTAGTTTGGAGAATTAAGTATTGGGTCAACTATTAATCCTCTAATTGATATTTTTCTTTATTCTCATCGCTTGTCTACTCGGTATTATATTGATATTGCAAGGAGAAATTCTGTCTTGGTCACTCGTGGGATTAAAGGGTTAAGAAGAGCAAGACCGTCATGTACCCACAGTGTTTAGAGGGCTGTTCTTAGTTCTTATTAACCGAGCGGGAGGTCTGTATGGGAGCATCTTGACCGAGGTCGCCAGTACAGACCGAACGCAATGAGGTCTGTACCAACGACCGAGGTCAAGATTCTCCCATACAGACCGACCTAGCTCGGTTAATAAGATGTTTATTGTATGGCTGTGTCTTATATGC